CACGTTGCCAAAAAAATCTATTTCTCAAATAGCGGCAACTTTAGCGAGCTATTTATTTCCTTGGATAAAAATAATAAATAAATAAATATTTTAATTATTTAGGTCAATTCCGTATTATATATATTAAAATTAGTTTTCAAATACACATAATTTATCTAAGAATGTATAAATTAGCTAGTGCACTTTATATATTGGAATGTTGCACTTTATAAAATAACATGTTTCACTTTATAAGACGATATATTGAACTTTATTAAATAATGAATTTTTTCAATTATTTAGATTAATTCCATGCACAATTTAACCTAATAAATCTAGTTTAAAAAAAAATACATAATTTATATGTGATCATATAAAGTAGTGCACATTCAATACGATGCACTTTATAAAGGAAAAAAGTTGCATTGTATAAAGCAAACCATTGCACTTTATCATCAGACTCCAAATTAACGTCCATAGATCCCTCGGAATATCGCATAACATAAATAAAAAAAACGGATCTACATAAAACTTTAAAACTATCACATCGTCCACAAAAAGCACAAGCATTTTAATGTAACGAAATTACAATAATTCACTTTAGATATTTCCATGGTGCATTTTATTAAACATCAGGTTGCACTTTATAAAAACAATGTGGTGCGCTTTATCACGACTGTCAAATTATACAATATAGAGCAAAATCGATTGAACTCATTTTTTTAATTGTAAATAATATAAAAGTAATAAATTAAATTATTAACATACTAAATATAATCGCAATATAAATGAAAAATATTTTGATTATTAGGATAATTCGGTTAACTGAACCGAATAAACCAATTAATTGTACAATACAGACCGATACATTGCACTATATTGTTGAACGAATTGCACTTTAATAATTGTTAGATTGCCCAAAATATTTCATTTACATACGTACTAATTTTTGTAATCCAAAAAATAATATAAAAAAACAAGTAAAACCATATTAAATACTAATCCTGCTTTTATTATAAATAATATAATTTATGTCAGTTTTTTTTTGGTATTTTATGTTAGTCGACAAATTAATCTGACTTTTTTTTTTGAATTTTTCAGTTCGAAAATTTATATGTCATCTTGATTATTTGTTTCTTTTTTACTTTTGAAATGCATATCTATACACAATATTGTGTGTATTTACCAATTTTAGATTTTATATTTCTTTTTGTATTATTATTATTATTATTTTTTTAACTTTTGAACTGCATATCAATACACAATATTGTGCAATTTTTTTATCAAAAAAATGGGGTATTTACCATTTTTTAATAATTTTCATATACACATTTTTTTAAGTGCATACATATACACAATATGGTACATCTAATGTGTCATTATTGTGCATAAATCAATCTTCATTAAATTATAACTTGTCATCTATAAATAAAAATATACATAAATTTAAAGTAGAAATTGCAAAATAGTCCCCCAAACATATATAATTTCCAAAACCCCATCACAAAATTCATTGTCCTGTCACTCCTCTGCCCTCCCCTGACGTACGCGCTACCTTGCCGGCGACCGGGAACCACCATGCCATCGAATGACACGTTACCGCTCCGCCGCGCCGATGTTCCATAAATGGCAAATTACAGAGCCTGTCGGATACTCGTTCTCTGGCCATTCCCGGTGGACATTCTCGAGTCACGGCCACCTGACGGCGTCTGGTGAATCGACGGCGGTCTTCACTGCCGAATATGACTGAGCGCGGGATACGACAGAGTTGTGCCGGGCTGTTGAGTTCCGGTTGTGGTGGAGACGACTTCACCGGTGGAGATGTTGGAGGTCGGTTATGGCGGAGACGTCATCCCATATGGAGCTGTGACGTGCTGTTGGTGACCCGACGGTGAGATGACTTACGTGTTGGAGGCGACGACGGCCATTGACGGCGGTAGAGATCCGACGCGATTTTTCCGGCTAGATGATTTCTTGGTAACAGGGAGATAGGGACGATGTGGTTGGCTCGGCGGAGGTCAAGGATGTCGAGGGGGCGAGTCAACTGCGGGTGTCGCGACGAGCTGACGGTCCGGCACTTGAGCACTATGTGTGTGTGTGTGTTGTATAATGTGTGTGTGTGTGTGTGTGTGTGTGTGTGTGTTTGTGTGTCGAAGAAGATGATGGAGGGGGTAGGTGGGGTGTAATATTTATGTTGATATTATAATGTGTAGTGGTGGGTCCATAGGATTGTTGGTTTTGGATTAAATGTCCAAATTATCCTTAATTATTGGTCAAATAGATATATTTGACCACAATATGATCAAATAATTATCAACTTGACATTAATGATTTACTATATTTTGACTTCATCCTAACTATTAATTTGATTAATCTCATGGTCCAAATTTATTCTCATTTTCTTTCACTCATCATGCTCATATGAACCCTGCTCTCTCTCTCTCTCTCTCTCTCTCTCTCTCTCTCTCTCTCTCTCTCTCTA